ACTGCCATGAAACAATTTTATCGTAGATAGTCGTAGACTATCGAAGTTTTAATATCTTAACTCACAACAACATAAATCAATGAAGAAACCATATTCAATAAATTTAATTATATTTACGTATTATTTATAATATAAAATTCATATCTTTTTAAACATCAAAAAAAAAAGTGGAACAAAAAATTAATCATTTACATTACTTTCTTCTTTTTCAAGTTAAATACTATAGAATAACATTTGTAGAATAATAAAAGGAAATAAAAAATTTCTATTTGTATCAGTATCAAAACAAAGAATATTCAGTCATAATTATTTTATTAATTATTAATTATGAATAGAAGCTTGTTATTTTTAATATAATGAATAAATGAAATTCATTATATTAATGAATAGATTGTATATGTATATGTTTATGAATTTGGAAGAAATATAAATGTACAAAAGTATATAAAATAGTCCATAGTAGAATACACTTTATATTTAAGAAATGTACCAAATCTTTAGTTAAGTTTTATTTTTTTAATACAAACTTATTTAAACTTTTATAGTCTACTAATAAAAAATAATAAAATTAGAGAAAATGGGGACAATTTTTATTTTGTTCCAGTATTTGTTCCAGTACTACCCAGTAAAGAATGAAGATTTACTAATCATTATTTTTTAATGTTAATACATATTTTTGCAATTCTCTCGGTTTCAATATTTCAATTTCACCAACGTTCTAAATATTAAAATTATTAAATTTGGATATCCCTTTCTCTTATTTTTCACATATTATAACTTGTTCGAGATTCAGAACCACGACATTCCAAGTACTCCTTAATTCCAAGTACTCCTAAACGACGCGAACTCGATGGAAAGCAAGCTTTCACTGCTGTATATGTTAAAATTAATAGAGTAATTGAAGCTCTTTGGGCAATTTGCGATGTCGAGAAATATCAATTAACGATTCGTAGATTTGTTATGTACTACGAGATATGGCGATAAGTTCATTAATACAATTGTAGTAGAAAGAAAACTATTTAAACTTCTTTCACTTCGATAAAACTAATTCATTGGACAATTGAATGGCTGCGTACGTTAGATTTATTAAATTTTAGAGGACGGCATGAAAACAATTCATTGGCCCTTCTTCTAATTTGAAAAATGAAAATAATAATCCAATAATAAGAAAGCCGACTGAACTTTGTAACATAAGCTCTTCTTCACATACTCGTCGCTGTTTACTTTCCTGCTGTATAACTCTTAGACATCTGGAGCAACTAAACTTTGTCAAAGAGTTTTTCACATTATTCTTTCTTTTACAAAGTAAAAGTTTGTGACATAACTTATTCAACTACAGATACTGAGAAATATCTACTGTTCACGGTCTTGTTCACGTGTATATGAGATATAGTATGTAATGATTTCATTAGAATACTTGTAATGAAAAATATGTCAGTATAAGTGCGTTTTGTAAAAAAATAGCTCGTAGACGACTGACTGCTCAAACTTGTAAAACTGAGAAGCAACTCCTGCAATAGAAAAAATCAATGTACTAGTTGAAACTAATTGGGTGAATCCTTGGGCTATCGACTTCTAAGACGTTTATATTTATTAAGAACCCAAAGAGAAAAAGTTTATTTCATGCAACTTTTTTGTTACGTGATAGAACAGAAAGTTCTTAATTAGGATATTTTTCAGATCTGCAAAAAATTCCGATTTTTTCATGCGGACAGTGTCGATGATACTTGAGTTGTTAAGTGAAAGTTTTCATTTCATAAAAAAAAATGTTTGGATATTTTCATTTCTTTAAAACTTGAAACTCTTCTATTTCTGCAGCATAGCATTTTTTGTTTTCATATTTTTCAGTTTAGAACACAACTAAATTTATATAAAATAACATAAAATATAATAATGCAAAGATTAATTCTATTATGATAATAGAACCTTCGCTTCATACATTTTCGTATTTTCGCCACAAATCTTGTTGATTCCTTTTTTTTCTTAACCATAATAATACTAAAATATAATGAACAACGTATTCGTGTCTATTTTGCCAGACTGTAAACAACAGGACAGATAAATTTTCGGTGAAAATACGAAATCATGTGAATGTTATTGGTCATTACCGATTCAGAAAAATTACTGGATCAATCAAAAGACCATATCGTGTGAATTTATTAGAAATATATATATAGCGTGTTAAAAAAATCGATAACTGAAGAGCATATTCACCAAGAGGTGTAAAAAATGTTTAATCAACGTAGATCCTAAAGGCAATTGTTTTGATAAAAAATCAACTTTTATTACTCTGTTTCATAAGTAAATCTTGCAATACATGCTAAATATTCAATCGAAGGAAGAACACAGAGGAATTCAAAGTATTAATTCAAAATTGTAAAAAATAAGATTATTACAATATCAACAAAGATTGCTTCATAAACGCAAACGTACTATGCTGAACTTCAGTATTCATTCGGATAGCGTCGTTCTCGTATTGTTAACAATGTCAATTCATTGTTCTAACATGGAAATGGCAAATATGCATTTCGTGTATGGCCTTACAAGTTGATAATAAGTATGGAATGTTTCTCGTCATTGGACGTAGAGAAATATCCCAATAATCGACAATAATAAAAGTTGATCTGATCCCGTCACACCAGGGAATCGAAGAAAACGAACAAGCCGACTCCTTAGCCAAAGAATCAACAATCGACCAAACAAAAGAAACCAACATCCCAATCCCACACCAAGACCTTCTAGCTTCAACGACCAAAGCGGAAAGAGAAGAATGGAACAGAATTTGGACTACGACAAATAGAACCAAAATACATGACATAGCACACCATTTCTATCAAAAAATACCAAATNAGCAGAAAAGAAAGGATAGCTATGACCAGGCTTCGAATAGGACACTCCAAGATCACACACGAATACCTACTAATCAAAACAAAACCTCCTTTCTGCAACACCTGCAACCTACAAGTCACCACCCAGCACCTACTACATGAATGCAGAAAATACCGAAGCATAAGAAGTAAATATGGATTAAATTAAACGAAAACACCGCTCTAACCTGCCAGAAACAACAAAAAAACGTTATCAATCTACCTAAAGGAGACCCAACTACTAGGCCAGTTATAAAGAGTCAATTTTGACACGTCGCTAAAGACCTCGTAGTCGATTCGACGCTAAACCTCCATTTAAAAAAAAAAAAAAAAAGTTGATCTCTCATTGATACAATGAGCTTTTAGGATCTATGTTGATTAGATATTTTTTACATTTCTCAGTGAGTATTATACGCTATTTAAATGTCGGGCCTTTCTTTTTTAACATCCTATATCGTATATACATACATGCATACATACATAGTAATCGCTGAGTAATACATAGTATTTTATTTATTATAATCACATAGTATTCCCTGAATAGGATAATCAATGATTTACAACAGGATGCCAACACGATTAAAAATTACGAGTAAAGAACTTTATTTTTAACTCAAAAAATCATTAGTTTTATTGACTTTATTAGTACGCAAAGGATTTAACATGTATTTGCAAAAAAATCAAATCAACTTTTCCTGAAGAATCGAACAGTATTGATTTATCTAGTATGATCATTTAATGCACGACGTGTAACATAAAATTCAATGTATTGCATAAGTATGAGAGTAATTAAATTGCAAATTTATTCCTTTGAGCCGATAATTGCATCGTTAACTTGTAAGAAATACGAATCACGCAGCTGCGCTGTGAAATTGCAACAGAATAGCGTCGTTCGTGTGCATTGGGCCTTCGAAGGAAGTCGCAGTGCTTTCTAAAATTAGTTTATCCAATCATTACTAATACAATATATTGTAAATAAATCAAATCATACGTTATTAATGTTCTTCTTTGTATTTTTAAACTTAAGCTTTTAGTATCTTAGAGTCGATCGGCTTTGTGGGTTTCCCGAGAAATACTTTGAGCCGATATAGAGGCTTTTCATTTCTAATGTATTTTAAACACACGTAATGACATTTTATTTTTATAAAATAAATTTGTATAGTGAACCTACGTTTACTGGGAAATAATTGAAAAATTAGGTGAATATTGTATCTAATTTAAAAACCTCAACGCCTTGAAAGTAAAGAAAAAAATTGTGCATAGTAAGTGAAGATCAAGAACAGTACACATGTTCTACGTCCAAGGAGTACATGAAGAATGTTTTCATCATCATTTATGCAAAAAGAACTTATAGCAAGAAAACTTACGACTTTCCATATTATTCTTATAAAAATATGTTTAGCCTTTTGTATTCCGTGAAATATAAATTTTCCACTTCCACAAAATTATGACAATGTTTATATTCAAAAATAAAAGATTTCCACAAAAAAAAAATTATTTCTTTTATTATTCATTATAAACTTTCATTTCCGGATAATATATATATATATATGTATATATATATATATATATTATCCGTAATTATACGTAATTATATCCGTTAATATATAAATTATCCTAATGAATAATAAAAGAAATAATTTTGTTTTTGTGGAAACATTTTTATTTTTGAATATAAACATTGTCATACTTTTGTGAAAGTGGAAAAAATTATATTATGTATATAATACATGATTTTCTTTTTTCTTCACGTAAAATTAACAATAAAATAAAATAAAAAAAAAAGTATCTGTTGAAAGTATCTTCATTTTTAAGAGAAATATTAATAGATACCTCAAAAATCGCATACTTTTCAAGGTATTTTTGGATGGTATCTGAAAAACTTATAAGATATTATTGGGTTAGTATACTTTTATAAAAATCATACACATATTTTAAAGTTTGTTTAAGTAATTACCTTTTCATATTAGATTTTTAATTTTTCAAATTGTAATTTAATTTTTCAAATACGCGAAAAGAGAAATCAATCGTTTGTATATTTGTTTCTTCGAATTACTTTGATTTCTATTTCTAATTCTTTTCAAATTATATAGTTCATAGCAATAGATAAATTATTTCGTAAAATGTTTTTAGAGCGGCTACAGGAGCGAAAACGTCCACAAGGCAAAGGACGCAAAGCAACAATCACGGCAACATCAGCGAGCTGCTGGACAATCTGCTTCGCGGTTACGACAACAGCGTCAGACCGGACTTCGGTGGTCCACCAGCCACGGTTGAGGTCGATATCATGGTGCGCAGCATGGGTCCGATTTCCGAAGTCGATATGGTTCGTATCACTTCGTTTCCTTTTGTTTCTCTTAGTAGCAACGACAATAGACCTACTATTCGATACCTCAATAAACAGTTGTACAATTGTTTGAGATCTTATTCATCATGGCAGAAATTCCATTTCACTCATTGAATAATTCGATAAGTATAGAGGTACATTTGTTGGTTTCATTAACTGTAGAAAAATATGTGAAAAAGAAATATTTTAAAAAGGAGTTTGTTTTGCTTTATAAAATTGGTATGGTGTAGTAATTATTTATGTTCATTAGGACACATTTCATATCGATAGAGCGAGGATAATATAGATCAAATGTAACACAGATATTAGAAATATTATATAGAATAATATGTTTTACGTATGAACAGCGATTATAAATATGTTTAAGTATGGATATCTATTCAGGACATTGAATCTTCAGAATTGATCTTTAAAACAATTCTGATCTGAACAATTCAAAAACATTTCAAGATCATTAAGATCGATGAAATGTCTAAATAATTACCATTATTATTAATGTACACGTATGCGTCGTTTATTTCAATGATATTTTTGTTATCTGTCGAATATTTTTACACGTTTCTTCTCGATCCTTTGAATATTTTCTACAGTCTCAACTTGCGATCTAAAAAGTTTTATAAAAATCTAAAAAATCTATTTCTAAAAATATACAATGTGGAAAGAAATGTTTGGTCTTGATTGTCATAAATAAATTCTACCTCCAATCTGACAGAAAAGCATAAGAAACTTGAGAAAAGCATAAGAAACAAAATTGACCTTGAATATCAAAGTCAAAATTTTCTTCATTTGCATTTTATTCTACTCATTACGAAGATCAAACTTGTCCAAAGAACCTAATCGTTCTTGAAAAATGGCAAGAAAGTCTTTTAATCATTTAACTTTTTTGTGTCCTCTAATAGTGATTTTATAGTTCCGGACGCGTCTTAAGAAATTGAAAGAAGCAGGTCAAGTGTACAAAGATACAAATCATACAACTTATTTTTTTTATTGTATCATCTTTTTTTTATTGGTAAATTCTGATATGTAAAAACATGACCTTGAAATGACACTGACGTCCAAAAAAGTTTTAAGTTTTTCTTATAAGGAATGGTCATTTTCATATTGCTGCAAATCCCATTGAGAAAAATGTATACGATTTACAAAATCTGTTCTGCGAAGATCTTGATGTAAAAATAAATGATATGAGTATCAATTTTTTTCAATACTATCCGTATTATGTCAGTCTTAAAAATGCCACTCTTACACTCAAATTGTCGTAGATTCACATGTGGATTTTCATTAACTGTAGCTATAGTATTGTATTTCCTTTATTTCTTTTGTTATTGACAATTTTAGTCATCACACGCTTTTTCATGACGTTGTCAGTTTGACAGCAATTTTTGACTACCTTTGTATTTTATGATAGTCAATTATAATTAGGAAATGTATCTTTGTACACTAGAATTGTTTCTCTTAAACTTAATCACTTTTAATGAATATCATATCGATCTTTTCTTACGTTGAATATTCCATTGTGAATCACTGACAAATTTCGGGATTTCAAACTACTTGAAGATTGTCATTGACGATGTAAATAAATAGTAAAAATGTTTTTTTGCATGTATTTATTAGGCTCTCGATTGTCGCGTCTTGGTCAAGATCTATAATCTCGATAAAAATAAATTTACATGTAAAACTTAACTTTTCAAGGTCATGTTTTTTACATATCGTACTTTTACGATGCAATAAAAAATATATATATTTAGTTGTATGAAAAAAAAACATCAATGACCTTGAAAATTCCGAAAAGAATGAGCTTGAAAAGAAAAATTCTTACCAGTTATTGGCCTTTCTATAGGTGCCATTTATGTTAGGCAAAAAATATTTTTTGCATCATTACAATTCAAAAAGATATTATATAAAATGCATATACAATGTACAATAATACACAATATATTTAATACATACACGTGTTAAAGACCAAGTTTTCAAACAAGTCAATATTAATCTTCCTGTTATTCAATAAAGCTGAAAAATGACTAAAAAGTATTAAAATCTTTTAATGTGTTAATTTAAGTTTTAAATGCACAGTGATCTCGATTGGTACAACATGTAGCATACATATAGATAATGTATTCAAATAAACTTATACTGTCAAGATATTATACAAAGTATCGATATTATCGAATAAATAGCACGTAAAATATACAGGGTGATCCTCGTAACGTGACGACATCAAATGACTCATAAAATAATTTGTTGTACGAAAAAAATGTTCAGATAGCGGTTGCATGGCTTGTATTGTAATCAGTTGTTATGTCATTTTTATCAAGATATGAAGGTCACCTTCAATTTTTTAAATGGAATAGTTAATATTTCTTCTCTAATTCGGATAAAGCGTTGAATTTTGCATAAAAAAAGGGTATAAAATACACCAAATAGGGTGTAAAATACATAGTTACTGAAATTAACGATCTTTTCTAATACAATGTAAAAACATATTTTTGGTAATATCTCAGTAACTATGTATTTTAGACTCTATTTGGTGTAATACTTTTTTATGTAGAAATCAACGCTTTATCCGAATTCAGAAAGTAAACTGATTACAGTACTGTATGTCCCCCTGGAAGCCATGCAACTTCTATTCTAGAACATTTTTTTCGTACAACAAATATTTTATGTATACATAATGCAACCAACAAGCTAAAATAGTACTTTCACAATAATTAATTTGCGATTTATTTACCTATTTTACATTTATTCCTCGCATTTGATAATTAACTCTTTTTTTCTAATAAAAAATAATTTTATTCGTAGCATATAAATCGGCTATTTTTAAATGCTCTATTTGAAGAAATTTATTCTCAAATCCTCTAAATCATAGTATATTGTTTATAACGAAGAAGATATTTAATCATAGTATACTAGTAGTATACTAGTACTTTTATAATGATTATTTAGCGTTTGATTCTATCGAAATTAATAATGTAAAACTTCATAATCGATTGATAGGTATACGCAAATATGTACGAAGATTTTATCCCAATAGTTGGATAATACATTATTACTTTAAAATACCACAATAATAAAGAAAGAAACCTTGTTAGCTAAAAAGTTTTACCAAATACTTTATAAATATAACGAGAACGAAATTTCTGCGCAGACTTATTCAATGGATTGTTACTTCCGCCAGTCATGGGTGGATCGACGTTTAGCTTTTCAAGGCGGCAAAGAAACTCTGGCGCTCAGTATATCGATGTTGGCAAGAATCTGGAAGCCAGATACGTACTTTTATAACGGGAAGCACAGTTATCTGCACACAATAACCAGTCCTAATAAGTTTGTCAGACTTTATCAGGATGGTAGGGTACTTTATAGTTCAAGGTAAGTGAATATTTTCTACAGATATTATGATTTATATAATATTTTTCTGTAATATACACGGTCCACGTAACTTGATCACGAATAATTTTTAAGATATACTAAGATTGTATGAAAAAAATTTTTATACAAAAGTTGCATGGTTTGAATGAGTACATCGTGTGGTGAATATATTTTTTGTACAGGTGGAGATTTGAAAGTCATTTACACTTTTCTTTGAATGGAATGATATATTTTTTGTTCAATATAGCTCGACATTACTTGTAAGAAAAAATTATTATTAAATTAAGCATATTGAAATATTACTAGTTTCAGAAAGATATTTCAACTTTAATTTTATAAAATCTACACACGAATGCTGCCCGTGTCTTTCCTCATTTTTCATACGGAAAATTTTACAAAATTGAAGTTGAAATCTCTTCCTTTTTAATATACATAGGTTAATATTTTTTTATAGAGAATATTCCATTTCAAAAAGTAGAAATGACATTGAAATCTCCGAAATATTTCCATATATTAAACAAATACTGCACCATAAAATGTACTTCTCTAAACCATGTATCTTTTGTATAAAAAGTTCTTTCATATAAGACATATAAGACATACAACGCTTAGAAAGTATTTGCTTTTACATACTCTATATGCTGTTACATACATTTGTAACATTTAGATATTACTGATAATTATTTTTTCGTCGAATTTTGAATTTTTGATTTATCGTGAACATTTTAATGTAGTATCTATCTTTTAATTTTGAAATGATAAAGACTTTTCTGCTGGAATATAAACTAGAAATTTTCTGTTTAAAACTGAATTCAAGTTTCTTGAGAATAAAAGCCCAAGATCAAAATTTTCTTTGATCATTGACGAACAGAAACTGCAACTTTTAATTTGGAAGCTTCACATAAAAGTCGTTTACCTTCAAAAATCTTCAATGCGTAATTTTTTCCTCTAATCATAAAAGACAAACAACAAAATATCAACAAAATTTATAAATTGCATTTCTTTCCCTTTATATAATCTATTTTATTTAGAAAAAGAATCGTGATTGTACTCAAATTGTTTAAAAATTCGAACTAAAATATTATCCAGGAAACATAATTACAAAAAATGGAGCGATTGAAGGGTAAAATAAAAAAAAATTACAGAATAATGAGGAAAACAATAAAAAGGAAAAGAAACATATTATATTAATGTACGAAATAAGCCAGAATCTTGCAGTATCTTTCGAACAGTTGCAATCGGTCTGTGAAGTTTATAGGATTGTTCAAGTTTTCTGTTTTATTGCTATACGTCCATTTCACGATCGTCTTTTGCTTGACTGAGCATGATGTGAGCTGACTTGCGTTTATGTTAAACAAATTTATCATGTGTACACTGGAAAAACATTTGACAATAACTTATTGTTAGGACTGAATGATAAATTCGCTTCTGGTCAGATATTTTTGGAACGAATTCAACAACTTTTTAAAATTCAGTTGCTCACATAAAGTCCCCCTTCTCATAACACGATTATTTACTACGAAAGGATATACATAGTATATTCAAATAAGTTAAATGATGTTAGTTATTTACAAAACATAATCAAATTCCGTCTTTATGTGATGGTGATTTTAAAGTTCATTTTTGAACGTGAAAAAACATTTTCAAAGAAAATGTAAAAATATTTTTAAATTTAGGCATACGTGTAGAATTCAATATACAATAATATTTTTAAATTATTGATTCTAAACCAATAATAGGAAAATTTATGTACAATAATAAAATTTTAGTATTTATACCAATGATATTTGATCAATCTATTCATTTTAAGTCATATTAACAGAGATTATAATATAAATTAAAAGTTAGCAATTTATTCAGTTTATTATTATTTATATAGATCTTAATATTACTATATTGCAACAAACAAAATTTTTATCATCACCTACTTCTCCGATAATAATAAAAATATTCTAGCAAACATGTAGTTTAAAATTATACAAATTATCTATTAGCGATATTCAGATTTATACGGTTACTTATAATTAAATACCTTTAAACTTGTTTTATAATTTCAACTTAAATATTATAATTTCAGTTAAATAATTAAAAGGTCCGTTTTATCGCTAAAGAAATATAATTTAACGATACAGTCGGTTACAGAAGTATGGGCAAACCTTCTTGCAATATTTTTGTGAAAATAAATGATATATTAATAAAATCCCATAAATAGTTTATTATATACAAAAGTAATGTGTGCAATAGCTGTTAATTTCCAATAATGAGTTATACAATAATAATACGAGTAATACAAAAATTCGTGAGTGAAGAAGATATTGACATATGAGGGATTTTTAATGATTTAAAGACAAGCGATCTTTTTTTAATTTAAAATTTTTAAAATTTTTAATTTTGTCATTTTTCTATTACCCATTAAATGTAGATTAAGCACTGAAATTGCAAATGTGTCTATAGCTTCTTGACGCTTGAATTTTTATATTCCTTGCATTATTATTATTATTATTATACAACTCATTATTGGAAATTGCTGTTATGCAATTTACTTTTGAATGTGATGAATTATTTATGGAAATAAATTATACTACATACATCATTTGTTTTTACAAAAACTAAGCGTGCCGATACTTTCTTTGACCCACTGTATAATAATATCGTGTCAGTCGAGAAGAAGATTCAACAATCCAGTTGTTTCAAATTATCCATTTTCAAGGACAAATACAAATACGTCACATATATGTTACAAGAAACAAGCGAAAAACAGTGAGAGCAAAAAGAAGAGAAAGAAAGCGTGAAATCAAGCGATGTATATTTCCCCTTTGTTAACCCATTCCCTTTCTCTTGACCTAGTCTTCTGGATCGGCTCTATTGTGCAGACCAGAATTAACCCTTGAGCTCAAGGTGCCTCTGCACACGGACGCATACGCACACTTGCTTCGTTTCTCTAAAAACTACATGTCGGGCACGGCTTGCTTTTTTAAAAAGTGCATCGTCCTTCTCAGAACTATCATCTTTTGTGTACGGTGACCGAGAGACAAAGGACTCGAGATTACCGTCTTGATTTGCGTCAATGTTGTTAGTTCTAGAGCGGAATGACTCGAATAAAAGTTTACACGAGACGTTTTCCTAGGCAGACGTTTTCAAACGGAGCTATTGAGAATTTGAACATAAATTTTCATTATTTTATTATTAATAAATTAAATAATTAATAATTAATTAATAAACAATTCATAAACATAAATTTTCATTATTTCATTCGAGCATAGTTAAGATAAATATAAGTATAGAATAAAACAAAATAGGATACAAAAATATTATGTAAATATTATAACATGTAAAATTTAGAATAAATGCAATGCGAAATGTGCAATATGAAAACCAAAGTCAATTTCAAGGCCAAAGAGGCTGAAATAAATATATACATACATACATACATTATTTCATTCGACGGCATTCATTCTTTTATTGTTAAAATGAAATATATTATAGTTGATTTTTCTAAAATTTGTCCAACTGTTTTCAATAAATTCCATTATTCGTTTATATCATGCAAAAGTCAGTCATTTTTGAAAATAGCATGTGATATATGTACATAGTCATACGAAAGTAAGGAACAAAAGGTCGTGTTATCATTCTGCTCGTTTTAAATTTGTTTGCAATAAAGATTTCATGTTTCCCATTATTACCTTAAAAACCATTCTTCAGACTATTTTTTGTTCTGTTTTGATTTAGAAGATTTTTTTATATTTAAATATTTTTTTATTGCTGAAACAGTAATAATTATTAGCTTGAAACTGATTTCAATTTTATAAAACATCGCATAAAACATAATCATAAACCATTTTATATAAATTCAATAAAGACATACGAAATTGAGGATTCGTTTGAATTTTATAATTACTTGTCATACTGTATCTTTTCATTTAGTTAATGAGAACGATTCTTTAGAATATTTTTTTGTTATTTTAAGTAAGCAAAATTGTTTAAATATTATAAAGAAGTTATTCAATATTTGCCAAATATAAAAATATTATGAACACACATAGACTATAACTTTACATATATTTCTATGCACATAAAACATATTTTATCTACGTTTACTATAATTTTAAAATCTTACTATAATTTTAGAATCTTTGTCGAATATATAAGTCATATATGTATATCATATGACATTTATATAAGTCAATAAAATTGATAAAATCTGTAATAAAATAGTATTTACTTAATGTTTAACAAAATGTTGATAAATTCAATTGAATGTCATCAACTGTACAATAAATCTTAGTAAAGCACTTGCAAAAAGGTTTCTTAACTATCCGTAGGTGTGACCTGAACGGAAAATCGAATTCCTTCGGAAACTCTATACACTGTCGTGATGGATCGGTAACCATTAAATGTCGATCACGTCTGCACTATTTGTACAGCACTTTATTAGCTACTAGTACAGCTTTCCGTAAATATTTATTCGAAGCTTCCAATTACTTTGTCGAGATTGAGTATATCTGAAGATAAAGGCATTAAGTGCACTAATTTTATTGAAACTCGACTAAGTCTTCTACACGTTTTTGTAATATTAATGTTAATCGTAGTTTACTCAGAATGATGTAATCCAGAGGAACAATTATTCTAATAACTTCCTGATAATTAATTTTGTAGATTTTAAAAGTAAAACTATTTCCTTTACGTAGGAAATACTTGAAAAATTATTTTTATTTACAACTGTGGTATTTACAAATTACGATTGTTATATATAATCGAACTACATCTGAAATATGCCTGTGAAAATAAAAATAGTGTACTTTCCAAATTAATTATGTAATAAAATAAAAATTAATCTGGAAAGTAGAAATTTAAATATTGTAAATTATATAATTGTTAATAGAAGAAACATTAGGAAAAAGAGAATGACAAAACAGAAAGAAAGAAACGAAATAATAAAGAAGTAAAAAAAGAAGAAAGAGAAACTGATAAAAATTGAAAAGAAAGAAAGAGTGATAATT